GGGGGGGTGGCTGTCCCCCTCCCCCGTAAGGTTTTTATGTTTTTTTTCTCCTACACGATAAAACATCAGCACATCGCGCACATTTTGAGACAAGTTTAGTGATGATCAGTTACTATGGTTACGAGATGACGAGATGACGTCATAAGTAGCAGGTGGTCAGGCCACGTTTGAGTGAAAATGCATGTTTTTTCAACTTTTTTCACAATAAAAGTAAAACTTGTGGATAAAATGATGCAAAGTAATAATTTATATGGGTGTGTTATCTTACATGTTAAGCGCAAAAAATTATCAATTATCACTGTTTTTATCTGATTTCTAAAGATGGCGACCGTGTTTGGTGACGTCACAGCCATCACCTCCCCCACCCCCCCCCCCACCACCTCGCCTGTACCTACGGTTAAAACAAAACAATAAAATGCTGAGATTTGTCAGGTACCGTGTCAAAATAGAGAAGAAAAATCAACATCAGTAGTGAAACCTACTATTATAATTATAAAACTGTTCTAGTGAGTCCTTAAACTGCTGTTTAAAAAAGTAAAATCTAAAATCCAAGCTTTCACCGATCAACGGCATCATCATAATTATGCTGCTCAAGGACAACATGAACAGATTCCCTACTATTATACTGTCTGGAGTTTACAGTTCGAGTCTTATCATCATTTTAAAGCCTGTAAGAAAAACTGTGATAAGCGAGTGCAGTGAACGAAAAAAGGATTATGAATCTTTCATTTCCTTCCTAATGACTGAAACCATCCTTCATTTCATTAGTTGTAGATCGCGGCAAAACGTTAACGAACCGACGTAGCTTGCCAGATTATGCCCAGGTTACCTTATGGCAATATTTTCTTGCATCTCCGCCGCCAGAGAACTATTAATAAAAGTTACTCATCCGTTTGGCCTGCTTATCCTGCCATCTGCGCCGGCTAGTTAACGACAAGTAATGGGAAAATGCTTCACACTGAATAATTATTCGTGTAGATCGTTATATCATAATTATAAGGGAGCCCATTTACAAGTAGAAATTTTAAAAAAAGTAATATTACTAGATATGCTTTTTAAATAAACGCTTTTGAAACTTAAAAAGTAGTCGATGGCTGTATGGTCATAGATTTATCAGAGGTTACCAAAGCGAAGTCCTTTGCTCAGGTCTTTTTTCTTCGAAAAAATCAATAAAGTTAAAATATATTCGCTCTTTAATTCTGTAAAAAGAGTGTTGATTGCGTTATTCAAAAAAGTCCATTACCTTAAGTCACATTCACAAGATTAATTAACTACCCATCGGCTGTTTGCTGAATATCTCCAGGAGATAGGATTCTGTAAGTGCCTTTTCGAACTGCAGAGTTTGAAACAACTGCTCTGTAAGGGTTGAGGGAGAGGTTGGAAATGTAGAATAAACTTCACTCAAAAAAGCCTAATATGAAATGTCAGTTTACAAAATCCAGTTGCCTAATAGACGTTCTACAGCTAAGACGATTCTGTTCTGTGCTTTGATGGTTGGATGGGGTTCCTTCGTTCAGACAGCTATGACAAATGCGTTGCCGGCAACAGCCGATACTCTGACCAACGGTCATGTTCCTGTCAAATGTGGTGTATATTACAGGGTTTGTGGCCTCATTGATAAGTCCTCCAAACAAGGCAATCTCATAGAGTAAATGTCCTTGATAAATACTTTCCGTCCCAGAAGCAATTCGCCAAATGCTCAAAACAAATGTTGGCGACCAGCATATTAGAAAAGCGACCACTATTAAGCACGCCGTTTTTGTGACACGCTTTTTGCTCTGTTGAAGAGCTCGTCCGGCCGTCGGTATCTGCACTTCACCTGGACTAATAATTGTCAAAGTGATTACATGGTAGTAACACCAGCATATGACACAGCAAGGAGAGAAAAATATCACAAGAAACTCACATGCTTCATAACATTTGTCTAGCCACGGCACTGGAATGGCAAACGGCGTGCACGTTCCTTGGAAGGCTTTCTGATGACCGACACTTGTCTTTACTTGAAACATGTAAAGAAATGGAGTAGACACGATAGCCGGGATAATCCAGGACAGGGCTATCATTTGTCTAACAAGCTTTTCTTTGAGTCTTGGGAGATGAGGATGTGCCAACGACCGGTATCGTTCTATCGCAATCAATGCATGAGTAATAACTGCCGTGCCGGAGGCGGAAATTTGAAGGTACTCAACAACCTTGCACATAATGGTACCAAATTTCCATAAGCCCCATAGTTCTTGCGTAAATTCAAACGGGCAAAAAAACACCACAATGACGAGATCCGAAATAGTTAAGTTGAGAATAAATTGATACGTCGCACGGTTTTTGAGAAGAATTTTACGGCGCTTAATCAACACATAAGCTACAAGTGTATTTCCAACGATCGCCACGAGCGTAATGATTCCAAAAAGAGCAGCTCTGAAGTTTGAAGTAGGAGAAGCCATAGATCTTAGAATTATTTAAATTCGTCAACTTTCGTGGTCTTGGTAAACAAAACTGTTCCAGTCTCACAAGAATCGTATGTTATACATCTTAACGCATTAGAGCGGTAACTAAACAGCTGCAGTAATTGCCGCTAAATGATGATTTCTCTTCCGGTGAGAAAAGAAATCATGAACAACAACTGCCCAAAGGCAAAGTGGAAATATCGAGAAGAAAAAGAATTACATGTAAGCACGTTAATTGATTTCAGTCTTCTTTCAGTATTTAAAACACAATTAACCAATAGGGACGCTTCTCGTAATTCTTAATGGTAAGTTTCCACTTAAATGATCGGTGATATGAATGATATATACTTTAGCGAACAATTGCAAACAAATGAAGCTGTCGTATATATTTTTCATATATCCTTCTGATCTATTGAAACAGTGATTTGAATATGCTAGAGAAGACAAATGCGAAAAAATGAAGTTGTCATAAATTTTTAAAGATTTATATTCCCGTAATCCAGTTAAAAAGGGTAATGCTTACGGACATCCTTTCCAATACGGTGATTTGCCTACTACAGTTTAATTTCTACTAAAATTTTTTTCAACGATATTCTCAAAGAATTAAAGTAATATAAAAAATGGAGGAATAATCGATGTATTCCGCATTTGTTCTTCCTGTTTTCGAGAAGCCAAATATGTTTTTCTCCAAATGAAAATGAAACAAAAGCTTATCTTAAGTTTTTAAACAAAGCCGTATCACCATTAACTTTCCTTTAGCTAAAAAGAGTTATTATAATAACTACTCACTTCAGGGGTAATCATTAAGATATATGTTATATATACCTTGATATATTTTTTTTCACATCGTATATACAGTTTTAGGCTTTAATTTTTTACTCTGACACGGATTGAAAAAAAAAAAAAAAGACAAATAAATACATTTACACAAGTAAAGAATAATAAATTGCAGCCTTATAGATAAGGAGCGAGTTAGGATCATCCAGACTCTCAAAAATACAGTTACAAACAGAATACTAGAACATTATTATTTTTTTTTCACGTATTTCTTCAGGCTATGTTGGCTAGGTAGCACTAATTAAATAACGATCGAGTTTAGGGTCCGTCTAAGTACGTCTTTTCAAGGTCACCCGGCTGCCAATCGCAAGCGAAATTTGACTTCGGGGTCAGTTTTGTATATCGCTGGAAATATTATCCTTTCTATCGGCAACGAGAGGTTTCTTTTCTTTTTCGTTCCGTCTTCAATGACTCCGAACGACTAGAGTGAAAAGACTAACTCAAAATTGTAAATTTATGAACAGGATTAATCGTATTTACATTTGCAGTTTCTTCTCCAATTCGCCACTTTCACATTATCCATAATGCACCTTATTTGCCCCTCAAAATTTTGCATAAGCATTGTTTTCAATTTCTCTTGGGAAGGCTGTAATACCCAGGGGAACTAAAAAAACAAAGGTTATGCAAAATTAGGGGGGGGGGGGGTGCAATTAAGGTGCATTATAGGAGATGTGCAAGTGGTAAATTGGTCTAGTAGAAAATTTTTACTATTTACCAATAGCGGTTGTCGAGAAGGCGAATGCAAATTATAGCTATTAATTGTTATTGTTTTCATTTTCCTTAAACGAAGTTTCTTCAACACTGAAACCTTAACACGATTTTTTTTTCCAGCCACAAAAATATTTGAAGTTAAATTATTCTTGTGCAGTAAAAAAAAAACAATTGTTTGTTATTCTGTTTGTTTCAGTCCATTTTGAAACGTTACAGAGCAATAGTAGAGAGCTTGAGGCTACGACTCTTTTCCTAAACAGGAATAAGCAATACGCATACGCATTTTTTGGTGCAAAACGTGTGAATAGGTAGAAGTAGCAAAATTAACCTGTAACATGACCTTGGATGAAAAAACTATTTTTGATGGCGGTTATTTTAAATGACGTCCAAGGTGAAGGTCACCTAAACATATCAAAATTTAAAACTCGTTGTTGGCAATCATGATCTACTGAAGTTGGATCATTAAAAAAAAAAGCGCGCGGGGAACGACGGCAAGAGGGATATTTCCCATCATTCCCGACTCGTGCAACGATGTTGTTAGTTCTAGCCTGGTCCTCGGCGACCACTCTAGTTAAAGTTCAGGAGAAAGTGTACTTAAATTTTCCGCTTGTAGTCGTGCCACTAAAGGATTTGGTGGATTTTGTGAAGTCATTTTTTTGATCTTGCTCTATATCGCCTCGTGTTGTCCCCGTAGTGAACGGAATATGCCAGATCCGAGTGGAGGAGAAAGCCCTACTCCTGCTCAAAATCGGCCGAGTGATCAAACCCGCTGTGATCACTGTGCCTGTAAATATACCGCTTCCAAAAAGTAGACGTAAGCAGAGGAAATCTCGAGTTGAAGTCACAGTTCTTCAGTAGAGCGTGGTCGAGCTATGAGATCCCAGCCCAACTCAGAGACTCAGAAAATCCGAAGGGGAAACAGGAACGAAGAACTGAGACCTCACTCACCTGGTTAGGCCCGGATGCGTTGGATGTTATCGATGCAATTAATGGTGATTCGACACTCAAGACAAAAAAAAAGGGATCCGTAGATGGAGAGATGTACTAGCTGAATGGGGAATGCAATGGGACTTACTATAGGTATGTTTTCAACCTTAGGGACCAGGAGACAAATGAATCAGTTAATGCCTATGTCACAGCACTGAGAATACTAGCCAAGACTTGTAATTATGGGTTACTGTAGACCCACTTACCCGTCATAGAATGGCGGTTGAAATTAGAGATAATTCAGTTTGCTCTCCTCTAGAAAAGTTAACTCACTTTAAGTCAATGCAGACATTATGACTTCAGCATGACAGCTCAAAGCTATAAATCAGGAAGATATCTGACGCACTATTTGTAAAAGGAGAAATGATAAGTCATCAGGTCAACTTAGCATCGTCAGGAAGTTGTGTGCAAGACAACACGCCCTGTCCTGCGTGGGGAAGCTAATACAAGAACGGTCGAAAGCCTAACCATTTTGCTGTTTGCTGGCATGCCAATAATCAAAGAAAAATGTCTTATCTTTGGAGTGAATCTGAAGATGAATAGTTTGTAGCAGTGATTGAATTTGAAAAACAGCTCAGTTTTGTAGCCTCAGCAGAAAATGGGTTCTGGCATCTCCTTAGATGAGCCAAATAGTCTTGCATCCACTTTTGGAACACTTTGGGGAAGATATCGCTGGCCGTGAATGCCAGATGGATTGTCTCCAACTCCAGAAGAATTTCATAGGCGAATTGATGTGGCATTTGAAGGCCTACCAGGGCAGAAGGCTCTCCAAAGAGATCATTGCTAAGCTGAAGCCTCCGTTTGCAAGATGCGGACTGCCGAATAGAAAAAATGCGGATATTTTGGGCCCCAGTTTGACCGTAGGGAATTTCAGAGCTTTGCAAAACAGTTCCACTTTGAACACATCAAAGCGTCGCCAACACATCCACAGTCCAATGTAGAAGCGCATTGCCAGAAATCGTGGATATTTTTAGACCGTGAATAATCATCAGTGGTGTATCGCATTACGCTTCACAAGGACGCTTTCGATGGCGGCGGTTGCGGCTCGGTCCGGAAAGCAGCGTGTCTGTAACAATGTGCTGCACAACTTTAAAGCAGTGCAGACATATTTGTATGATGTAAATATTAAGTAGAAAAGAATACCTAAATTTTAATCCATGGTTTTTATGAGGCGGAACGAGTCGTGGCGAATAGGCCGACAAAAAGGGGATACCCACAAAAGAGGGGATTTGGTACGATTCCTACATTTCCCAGGTCAGTCTAATTGCCTTTTAAGGCTCACGTGGAGGATCAGGTGGCGGTATGATTCTGGCCAAGGTATGCACAGAAGATGGAATAGTCTATCGCAAATCCTTCCATCTTCACAAGGCTCCTGAGAAATATCAACTGATTTCAGATGATGGAGCAGTGCAATAAGAAAGAGCAAACCGGAACCATTTTGAATGTTATTTCAGTTACTATAACGAGACTGTTTTCAGGTTTCCGGTTTTCTTTTCTGTATTTTTGTTGTTGTTGTTGTTATTGTTATCTTTTTGTTTTCAAAACAAGGGAGATGTAACGATGCCAAGTTCCAGGCCTTCCCGGATGGTTGCTCGCGTTCTGTTATATAATCACGTGCTGTCGACGAAGCTTTCCTGTGATTAATGAGTGGTATTCTGCAACTTCTGTCGAATTCATTGGCTCAAAACTATGTCATGAGGCGCTTCTCCTCTTTCCCCTTCCCAGCCTTCCTACGACACAGAGGAGGCCTCAGTGGAATAGAGAGAGCTATTTATACTTTTAACATTGTTTAGCAAAAACCCAGTGGGTGGTGCGCAGGTCGTACAAGGTTCCACAACATTGACGGACGACAGCGCCCCCTCCCTTGTACCCCAGTGGTGTATGGATTCGCTGGTACCAATAATTCTCTCTTTAGCTGGCACGGTGCCGGTGAAGATTAGAAAGACAACACGTGGTGGGCACTTAAGTACAACAAAAACACTAGCAATTAAGTATTAGGGTCGAGTACCGCATAGGCGCCCTAGGAAAGTAAATTTTATTACTCCTTTAAAAGTAAATGCCCTAAATTTCGTTGTTTTGAATAGAAATGAAAACGGTGTCGGAAGAACAGAGAAAAGCTTACAGACGAACCGAAATATTTTAATTTAATGGCGTGAAAGAGATTGCCTGAATAGTAATAGAAGCGTTCTTTACTCAGCATCTCATATTGAAACCGACTCTTACATCCAGTTGCGCTTTGCTCCTAATTTCGAACTGTTCCGCTGTTATTCGTATTAAGTTAACAATGAAAATGAATATATTATAAAATAAGCTCAGGTTAAAATTGATTACCAAGAAGGCTATTAAAGATATGAAACCAACTTTTCCTACCTTTAACTATGACTTTCCCTTTTGAATTTTTTCCTTTTGGTTTTGTAATATTTCTTTCAAGTACACGTATCACCACGCTTAACCTTCTTGAGTAGTTTTCCGCGTTAATACGATCAGGTGGTCCTTCTTCTCTTTTAAAAAGAACGCCGAGGAGTTAGCGATCGATGGAGGACGACGGCTGTATTATTCGGTCAGGTTACTTTCGATGGGCAAATTTTTTCTTTAAGTTTTGGTAAATAAAATGAAAGTGTTAATTAACCTGCTAAATTTTGCCCATATGTTATACCTAAGACTAAAAAAACACACACACACACACAAAATACTCTTTCCTTACTCAGCTGATAGTAAAATTCTGTGACACAAGCAGGTAGAGAGAAAAAAAGTCATTTAAAATTTTTAATTGTTATCTTTCGAATTATCCAGCTAACTTATTTTCATTCTTCAGGTAAGATGACGATGATGTCTTAAAATAAGTCGATAAGTCAAAGGTTTTTGGTCGTAGTTTGTGACACATAGCCTAGGAGATTTCTGGATGACCTAATGAGGATAAACGAAAAAAAAAACCTTTCTGACCATTTTTCCTTTTGAACATCACTGTATCTCGCCCACTTTTAAATGCCCTCTCTTTAAGGCCTTTTTTCTTCAAGAGTATAATAAAGAAATTTTTACTTAACGTAGTGGTATAAATTACAAATATCCTTGTCAAATTAACAATGCTTGTGTAAACCGTCCGGTCAAACTTTTAATTATTGTGTGGAAAGCTGCCAATCTTGCAGCATAATTTAATTCATCCTCATATTTACCTGTTTCCTAGGTGTTATGAATGATTATTCTAAGGAAGTCTTTACGAGATCTTACGCCTAATTGTTTGCCTGTTGCCTGTTAATTGGTTGAATCTTGGTGATACGTTTTCCAACCAGATGCTGCAAAACAGACTGTTAATGTCTGCTAATCGAGCGAAAAGGTTATCCGCATAATGTCCTACTCATCAGTAGATATCTTCAAAGCCGCTTTTGTTGGCGTCATTTTTGTACTCACTATAGTGGGAAATTCACTTGTGGCTTGGGTTCTCATCAAATGTCGACGATATCTTCTACGAAATCGACCGACTTACCAATTTATTCTTAACATCGTGCTTTCCGATCTTGCAGTCGGTTTGTTAACCATGCCGTTTGAGTTTGTCCGTGAGCTTCTGGGAAAATGGATCTTTGGTACAGTGTTGTGCAAGATTGTGGAATTTATTGAAATTGCTGTATCTGGCACGGCAGTTATTACACATGCCTTGATCTCCTTTGATCGATATCGCAGTGTCGCTCGTCCTTATCTTCCAAAGCTAAGAGCAAGGCAGATAAAGAGAATGATAACCTTGTCATGGCTTCTCCCTGCTTTTGCTGCAAGTCCTTATTTGTACATGTTCCAGATCGATGAGATTGACTCGAAAATCATCTGCACACCAAAAGCAATACCAATTCCATGGCTAGATAAGATGTACCAAGCCGTTGAGATGTCACTTATACTCTTGTTGCCGTTCTTGATCATGTGCTGGCATTATTCCCTTGTGGCATTGACGATGTGGGGGATAAGCCCAACAGTGGCAGCTGAAAACTTCTCTAATTCTGCGAGACATTCTGTTGTTTACAGAAATAAGAAGCGTGTAACACGAACGTCTGGCCTTGTTGCAATAACATTCATCGTTTGCTGGCTTCCTACGTTTGTCTTAAGTTTCGTTCGGATTAGCTCGGGCACAGAGCATGTCCATCGTGGGCAACTTTTGCAGGAGGTAGCCATGTTTGGCACCTTTATAAATGAGGCTATAAATCCTGTTATTTACTGTGCCTTCGATAGGAACATAAAATCACAAGTTCGCCTCAGGGCCTTTTGCACCCACAATACAGACAGTGTTGTAACAAGCAATGATGACGATCATACACGCCACACCGTGGAAACCGATCATAGGCGAAAATCGACGATTTTGGAAACCCTAGATCTTACCAAGTCAAGTAACAGAACGATACAAATATAATATACGGTGTAAGTAAGTGGATAATGATCGATAAATAAACTCCGCGCAGAAAATTTCCCCTACAAGATTGCAATGCCTAAACTGACTGAACAAAAAAAAAAGGTTTAGCCATTTCAAAGAGAGAATTATTACTTCTCAAAAACGCAAAAAATAGCTGTTTTTTTCTGCAGCTTTTTACCTAAGTCCATACTTTTACAGTTTCTCGTGTCTTGATGATCGTAATCGAAATTTTTCATTTTCGCACGTTTTTGTGCGACGTTTTTTGTAGTTAACTAACTTCGCGAACCAGTTAATGTTCTCGAGTCTGCTTATCATTTTATTACTCTGAAAATTTCAAGCTTTAAATACCAGCCCTCTTGTTTGCGTATAATGGTACTGAAAGTTATGCTGGAAATCTATATCTTACTGACCAAGTCTGGTAAACGAGTTTGTGCGGATGTGTTTAAGGCAGAGTGAGGAGGCCTTTGTAGGCTATTTAGAATTTTTGCCCCATTTGAATGTAACGAGACTAATATCCCTGCATTGATGTTAAGAAATGAGTTCCTACGCCAAATAGATCTTGATAACGTGTCGGATAAATGATATTGATAAACGCTGACAAACGATTAATTCTAGTCAATTCAGTGTAGTACGGTCACCCCGGTCCTGGTCTAGTAGAGTTACTAGACTAATCATACTTTATGGCCGTTGCGTTCAACGAATGAAAACTTGCGGTAAGTTTGTAAAACCAAATGTATTGTTATTGAAACTACTATGATAAAAATAAAAGCCGAAAACCAAGCTGTTATTGCTTAACCCACGCTTGTAATGACTTCTGATATTAATTTTAATGAACAAAAATCTCTCTACTTTCGTGTTAAAAGGACATAAATTGTCATATTAGAAACGTCTTACGTAACCAAAACGATATTAGCTCATCTTCATTTTAGTACTCGAGAACGCTTCTAGCCACAAGGTTAATTAAGAGAAGAATACTGTTAACAAAAATATAATTTCTGTAATCCCAGTGCCCTTAGACTGAGACGTCGTCTACAAATGTGGGGGTTTCTTATTATTTATTGTCAATATTTTCCCTTTCTTGTCACAAAAAAAGCAATTTATCTTTCTTCTTTCCAGTAATTTTCCATGAATACTAACATTTTCTCGCCAGGTTTCGAAATGTTTAAGTTTAAAATTTTTCACCAAAAGAAAGTAACTATCTCATATACTGAGCAGAAAACGGCAGAAAAATTTTCACTGAATGTAAATTTAGAAACTTTTCCTATTTTTCCTTTTAAAGTTAGCAGGTGCTCACAAGTTGGCGTATAGAATATTAATTTTCTTTCATTAATTTGCTCCTGGCACCATAGTTCAAATAATTTGTTTAAGTAACCCCCATCAGACCAAAATTTTAATAAAGGCCAACTAATTGTAAACAATTGTCTTTTTTGACGGCCTACATTTTCCACGATATAATTCATCCTCCTTGACTGTAAAAAAGGGATTCTGCATGTTTGAATTCAGTGGATGTGATACAAATTCTACACTACTTTAAAGTAGCATTACGATGCGGTCTAATAATTATAATCTTTCTATGCTGGGGCATTTTAGTGCATTTTCTGTTCTGCAATCATAGAAACGAAACTATTTTTTTCGGAACACCTTTCCAATTGCAACTTTAGGGGAAAAAAGTCTTGATTGGCTTAAATTTGAAAGCGTCGCAGCCAATCATTGGAAAGAAAGTTTGACACATAATTTTGTACCTCATAAAGATCATATGATGAGTATCTCTTTTTGCTGATAATTCTTCCGAGCTGCCCCTGCGATACTGTAGACTTACGCGTATAAACGTTTACGATATATGGATATCCTTAAGTATCAAGCTTTTGCATTAAGAAGCGGAAAAGAGCAAGAAGCGAAGGAAAGTCCGACAAGAGTGATAGGAGTTGTGTGTCGAATAGAAGCAGAAATTAGTAAGGCAAAAGCCAAATTAGGAATGCGCCCCCTTAAAGAAGAACAAGAACTAGAACGCAAGCTGGAATAAGTTGGAAGAGGTAAAGCGAAGTTAAGCGGAAGTTAGAGCTGTTGAATGCCAAAACTATGATGGAGCATGCACAATTAACTGACTTATTGTTAGAGCGCAGCGTGGAGAATAGAGGGTAAGATGGGATGATTGAGCACTTTAGAGAGCTCGATACTAGTTATACTCCTACAAAGGGAACATTTATGCACGTTATGTTATCAGTGCTACCGGCACACCCCTCTCACCACCCCTAACAACACCTGTTAACAAGGGTAAAGAGCGAACATATTTGGCTCACAAGATTACTTAAACTTTACTAGCGTCATTAGCGACCGCATTTTCTGCATCCCCAGTGTCAGTAGTCGCAACTTCTGCTTCGCATGTAAGAATGGTAATAACTGGTGAGGCACGTTTTAGCGGTTTTAAGTTTATCTTAGTCTACTAAGTACAGCACACCTATTATTTATGCCAAAGACGACACCTACAGCTGTTGTTGCATCATCAATGCAGACGTACCCATCGTCAGCAATGCCTATGTGGTCTTGTGGTCCGCAAACTGTAAGTTTAGATGCATCAGCAACTGAGTTTTATCCTGTCATAGCTCCGAAAACAGCTAAAACGACATACCTTTCCGCAACAACTATTCTTGAGAAGGGAGCTAACCCTCATCACGCATGTAGTTTGATCGTTGGTTAGTTGTAGCAAAAAAAATTAAGCAAGGACCATCCTTACCGAAGGTGGAGTTAATGAAATTCTACGGGGACCTTTTGGTATGTGTACTTTGTTACGAACTTGAGAGACAATATGGAGAGCCAAGTGGCTGATGAATCACAAAGACTGACGCGCCTTTTAGCTCAGTGCACTGGCAAAGCTAAAGAAGCAATTAGGAGTTGTGATAATTTGGCAGAGAGTGAAAAATAATCCGAAGCCTGGAGAAACTCGAGAAATTCAAGTGCGGAAAGCGGATGTGGCGACTCTGATGGAGTTTGTGTGGCGACTAGCACGGGTCATAAGTACACGGGTCGGTTAGACGACGAAGATGACTTGTCTTAATCTATTGATGCGAAAGCTTTCTGATGAGAGCATGAGAAGAAAGTGGGTGGATAAAGCAGGATATCTCATCATGCACATTAGGCTCGGGTGGAATTTTATACCGACTCTGTTGAATCTGTTCGAAGACTTGCGGATCGTATAAACGTTAAATGTGGGCAACAATTGGGGTTCTCTTGGCCTAGTAACCGGGTGAGAAAGGAATCAAACTGGACGAAGGATCGCCTCCTAGGTTTACTACCCTTGCGACTCAAACTGACCAGTCACTGCAAAAACCAGAAAATGCCACCATAGCTCCATTGGAAGTGTACTCAGTGTTCCGGACCTCACAATGATTGGAGATACAAAAAGTTCAGAAGTGGTTAATTGAATGACCGTCTAAAGAATGTTCGTCAGCATGGATTTGTAAACTGTGTCTTGACGAATGACTTGCTGCAAAACTCTGTTATATAATATACTTGCCGATTATAAGGTTGCGGCAAAGTTCACCACTACTTCCTGCATCCTGTGACGGAGAAAGCTGATGAAAATGACTGTGGAGTGAACAGTCATAGTGCGCCGGAAGGTTCAGCGAATAGTAGCTGCTGCAATGTAAAAACGCAGCTCACCGTCGGCAAGTAGAAGCTAGTAGAGGACAACAAATCAGGTCACTTTTCATGTAGCATCTAGTACTAGCACAGCACCCGTTCCTAGTGAACCCCACACAGTTGGTTCACTAGAAGCAGGCCGACCTAGAGTTGCTTCAAAGTGTTCCGAATCAGAATTAGAAGTCCTGGAGGCATTAGAGAAATTATCACGCGTGCGTTTCTAGACAGTGGATGAGACGCCACGTTCTGTTTAGACAGTCTAGTGAAAGATTTTTGTTTAACTAATAAGAAGCCGATCAGCTACACCATGACTCCCGCCAAATGTGCCGATCTCAGACATGGTCATGAAGTCCAGTTAGACCTTGAATCCTTGGACGGAGATACAAAGTTCCGGCTAGACAACGTCTTGAATACAAGGAACCATCCTTTTTCATCACGGCAAATAGCAACGAATGAGGATTTTAAGCGATGGTCTTATCTCCGTGAACTTAGCTTGACTGAGACGGGAGATAAGGGAATAATAATAATTTTGATAGGCAGCGATCGCCCAGACCTGATAGACGAGCAGCTAAAAAGGAAAGAAGGTGATCAAGGCGAACATTATGCAGTGAGGACGTCCCTCGGGTGGACAATCCACGGCCCAATCGGAGAATCCTTTAAGGACCGTGTTAGCGTAAAATTTACTCGTACTGGGCAAGATAGGTCAAACATCCCGCTATAAGGCATGTTAGTCTGCTTTGAAGCCGTTTTTTGTGACCTCACGCAAAGCTCCTCTCCGAAAACGGCTGCTGAGAACCGAAGCACATTCCTCTCCGCATATTATCCAATCATATTTCAGCATCCATTTTCTGAGAGGAGTCCGCGCCAACACCACGATACTGTGACTCCTACAAACAGTTTGTCTATTGATAGAGCGCTAGGTATCGGCTGGAACGTGGAACATGACACGATTGACTTTATAGTAAACAAAAAGGAGATACCGGAGAATCGAAACGACGTCTTTTCAACTCATCCTCGGAGACTCAGGGGCAGTCAGCCGGGCCGCGGGAAAAGGCGCGACGAAAGGTTTCAGCCACTGGCAAAAGAGCCCCAGGGTACCGACTATCACCTGACCATTTCCGTGCCAGACAAGTATGGCAAGACAGTAGCCGTCGTGTACGAACATACAAAAAGAACTCAAGAGATGCTGTTCGCCGATTGGGCAAAATAATACAAAACATTTTTCGGCCCAGTCAGGAGCCAGCATTCGCCTGACCGTTTGGAGATGGTCCGGTGAGAGTCGTTACCCAGGGGCTCTTTCTCCCGTGCTTGAAAACTTTTGTCGCTCCTTGTCTCCCGGCCCGACTGAGAGACTAGGACTT